CTGTGGGAGGGAGGCTCAGTGGGTGACATCCCTGGGCTCGCAAACACCTTATGTTTATTTGCAAGGCTGATGTAAGTGCCACTTTCTTTAAGAAAGTACATTTCACTGTATTTTTTTCATTGTAAAGGCTGAAAAAAATCAAGGTGTGGAGTCTGTGTTTGGTCCCTGTGGTCCATAAGGAAACCACCGAAACTTGCATGTGACTCCATGTGCTCTTGTGTGGGTTAGGGATAGGTCTGTGTGGAGGTTAAAAACCTGACTGTTAGTGCTCCGTGGTTAGAGTCCCAGGCTTAGCCCTGCAGCGTCTCCAAGGCTGTGCTGAGAAGCTGCTCTGAGGCTGCGGTGAGCACACGGGTGCGTCTGCTGCGTGTACTCACAAGCAGTTTGCCGCGTCTTGGCCTGATGGGTGTTAGAAAATGGGGGAGGGAAACCACTGCTGTTCAAGTAGGGTTACAAGTTAGCGAGCTTGTCTTAGGGAATCTTCAAAGCAATCCAACCCAATAAATGCCATTTTTAGTTTGGATTTTTTTGTTTGTTTGCTTGTTTTGCATTTCTGGATTCCAACTCCTGGGTTCAATCGATTGGGGCAGCAAATGCCTAAGACACTGCTGCTGTGGGATTCCAGAGTGACGGTCAGTGATGACTCCTACACACTTGTGTAACAGCAGGAACTGGAGGTGCAGTGAAGGCCCCTCTAGAGGGGGTTTGTCTGTTCTCAGTTGATTCCTCTGCTTCTTCTGAGGGATTAGAAGGGGACGGGGGAGGGTGGTGTCTGAGGTTAAGGTGGCAGCAGGTAGCTTCCTCCCCTCTGTAAACCGTGCCTTCATCCTCCCCACCTCGGGCTTCACACCTGGCTTCGTCCTTCGTGGAAGGCTCACGCTTGTTGAATGATTTCATTAAAGCCTCGTGGTATGTGGGGAATTAGAATGCAGAATGAGCTGTACAGAGACAAATTATTGTCCCTGTCAGAGTTTGAGAGAGCTGCTCAGAGGAGGCCCTACTGGGTCTCACTCCCGGGCAGGGGCGGGGGGGAGGGGGTCTGGGAGCAGAAGCAGCATCCCAGACAGAGACACACAAGGCACAGCGGGGTGTTGGGGGTTTGTGCTTGGAGAAGAGTCTGGACTGCCCAGGAGGTGGGTGGGGCTGGATTTCTGTCCCCCTCCCCACCCTCATGACGGTACACTGTTGAGTATATACCAGCATCTTCATGATTAGTGAAGTTTATACTCAGGTTAAGAACAGAGCTAACATTTAGAAGCTGTATCATTCAATGTAAAAAAAAAAAACCAGCTCAGCACCTGTGACTCACGCGGCTAAGGCACCAGCCACATACACCTGAGCTGGTGGGTTCGAATCCAGCCCGGACCCGCCAAACAACAATGACAGCTGCAACCAAAAAATAGCCGGACATTGTGGCGGGCGCCTGTGGTCCCAGCTACTTGGGAGGCTGAGGCAGGAGAATCAGTTGAACCCAGGAGTTGGAGGTTGCTGTGAGCTGTGATGCCACGGCACTCTACCCAGAGGGACAGCTTGAGGCTCTGTCTCAAAAAAAAAAAAGCCACCCATACTCGTTTATCTGGTATATGAATATGAACAGTCAGATCTTGGAAATCTGGAACAAAGGATCAAATCCTTTAACTTCTTGCACAGAATCTTCACTGCAGAGAATAGAAGTTTAATTCAATTTTTTTAAAACAGTAAATATATTTTATCATTCCCTTGTCATTAAAATTATTGCTGAGATGATATGAGAGTTTCCCTTGTGTGGCTAATTAGAAGAAGGCTGGTAATTGACTGTGGAAAATAAAAATGAGTGTCTTATATCATCATGAGTTGAAGCCCCTAACCCTGGTGGACAAAAAGAAGATTCCTACAGGACCCCTAGGGAGAGCAATGCCTTCTTTTAAGGGCTAAGGAGATTATAACCTTAATCCCTAGAAGTTGGTCCAGTAAGAGAGAACTAGGCTGGGCACAGTGGCTCACACTTGTAATCCCAGCAATCTGGGAGGCCCAGGTGGGAGGATCCCTTGAGCTTAAGAGTTCGAGACCAGCCTGAGCAAGAGCTAGATGCGGTCTCTACAAATAGCTGGGCGTTGTAGTGGGAGCTGTAGTCCCAGCTACTTGGGAGGCTAAGGCAAGAGGATCACTTGAGCCTGAGAGTTTGAGGTTGCTGTGAGCTATGACACCATGACACTCTACCCAGGGTGGCACAATCTCAAAAAATGAAAAAGAGAGCTTCTAGCCTTGGGGCCACCAAGTCCCTTTCTTTAAGATTTTTAATGGGGACGGCACCTGTGGCTCAAAGGAGTAGGGCACTGGCCCATATGCCGAAGGTGGCAGGTTCAAACCCAGCCCTGGCCAGAAACTGAAAAAAAAAATTTTCAAGATGGCCTTTCTCACCAACCAGGAAGAAGTATCTCTACTCTGCAGAGGAAAGTATGCCTAGGAGAAAAACACTTCAGGAAGTTTTTCCTCAGGGAACAGAGTCTGGCAAAGTATATTATTTACAAAGCCTCAGTAAACACATTCTGTGATTTTTTTTTTTTTAGGTGAAAGTTATAATATGCTTTCTCAATTCTGACTAGTTATCTATTATAATAGCATTTATTTAAATTATATCCTTCAAGAAAACAATAAAAAACTCTTCTTTAAATATATACATATATCCACTATGAAGTATGAAGTATGCTGATATCTACAACTTACTTTGAAATGAATCATTAATAAAGAATGACTTAGGTCAAGCGCTGTGGCTCAAGCCTGTAATCCCAGAACTTGGGGAGGCTGAGGTGGGTGGATTTCCTGAGCTCACAGTTTAGAGACCAGCCTCAGCCAGAGTGAGACCTCGTCTCTGAAAATAGCTGGGTGTTATGGCAGTTGCCTATAGTCCCAGCTACTTGGGAGGCTGAGACAAGAGAATCGCTCGAGCCTAAGAGTCTGAGGTTGCTGTGAGCTGTGATGCCACAGCACCCTACTGAAGGCGACAAAGTGAGATTGTCTTAAAAAAAAAAAACGAGTTGAATGAGGAATAGATGAATTAATATGTAATGAAATACAGCAAAATAACAACTGTGGAATGTAGGTATTATACACATGGGTGGCTACTATATAATTCTTTTAACTTTGGAATCCTTGAATTTGAAATTTTCTGTATATTTGAAATTTTTTCTTTCTTTCTTTTTTTTTTTTTTTTAAGAGACAGAGTTTCACTGTTGCCCTTGGTAGAGGCCCATGGCATCACAACTCACAGCAACCTCCAGCTCCTGGGCTTAGGCGATTCTCTTGCCTCAGCTTCCCGAGTAGCTAGGACTACAGGCACCCGCCACAACGCCTGGCTATTTTTTGTTGCAATTTGGCTGGGGCTGGGTTCAAACCCGCCACCCTCAGTATATGGGGCCAGCACCCTACTCACTGAGCCACAGGCGCCACCTGAAATGTTTTCATTCTTTTTTTGTAATTTTTGGCTGGGTCTGGGTTTGAACCCGCCACCTCCGGCATATGGGGCCAGCGCTCTACTCCTTTGAGCCACAGGTGCCACCATAAATTTTTTCATTCTTAAAATACTAAATAACTTGCATAAAAGTTAAGGAAATGGACCAAGTTATAATTTATCAACTAATAATAATGGTCTTAGGCTTAGCGTAAAGTTTTGATGCAGGTCAACAGTCTGGCAGAGGCAGGGTTCATTACTGGCAGTGCTGCCCTTCCTGTGTGTGCAGTTCTCCCAGAAGAGCCACCAGCCGTCAGCGACTACATGCTGCAGACCTCAGCTATGTATCTAAACAAAAAGAAGGCAGGGAATGGAGGAATAACAGATGGGACTAAATTATTACTGCCTCTAGGAAAATCTTCAAGGAAAAGAATGCCATCTCTAGAAAGCTTTTTTCCCTTAATATTTTCTGCTTTCTCCTATGATTGAGGGTTTTATTTGGTCAAGTTTCTATTAACCCAGGTTTCATTATACTTGCTTTAGTGAAATATTAAATGCACTTTAGGTCATAAGGGAACGCATGTTGAATGTAGTCCCAAATGACACACAGTGCCAATCAGTCAACTGCATTTATACTCTAGCTATATTTTTCTTTAGTATAGAGTATATTTTCTAGGTAGCAACGTAGAAAATGTTTTCAATTTTATGGGGAGCAAAAATAGTTCAAATGATTATACCTTCTCTGCTTCGATGATTGAAACCATCAATAAAAGCAAACAGAGGGGCTCGGCACCTATAGCTCAACCGGCTAA